TTATTTATTTAATGCAATCACAAAAGATCACATTGACTTTGAAAAGCCGCGTAAAGTTTATTGGCATTATATACTTCGTATCAATATTGTTGTATTTTTATTTAGTGCACACTAGTGCGTGGCCCGTGCGATGCACGAAAAAATAATATTATGATTATCTTATAAATTATAAATAAATAAAATTAATCAAGATCCATTATTTTCAAATTAAACCGTGTTTGGTCACAGTACGACCGGGTGCACCGAGAACCGGTTTATAACCAGTCTAGTTCGCTTGAATAAAATATTTGCTATCGAATCCGTCAACACCAGTTGGTTGAACTGGTATGATCGATACGATTTTCTATATAAATTTTGCTACATTTAAAATCATTATAAATAAAAGTACATAATTAAATAAAATAGAGTTTTATAAATTGTTTATCAATTAGATTAAACAATTGAAATTTTAAATTGTTTATATATTTAAGTAACACATTTTATTTGAATTTATTACAAAAAGTACTACATATGTGTGTGTGTGTGTGTGTATATATTAAAATAAATTAAAAATATGAAAAACCACAAATGATTTAATAAAATAACTTGATCGTTTCAATGATGTTCTGATTTTGAAAACCTTATGTTTACTGTATATTAATAAAAATTATAATAAAATATTATTTTATTCACATAAATATAAATAAAATGATATAAATATTTATAAATTATTAAACATGATTTCATAAAGTATTGTTAATACGAGTATTTGAAGTTTGAATTACATAACATTCACGTAATAAAGTATTTTCAATATTAAATTTAAATTTAGGTTCAATAATCAATTTGGTCTGGTCAAACTGATACATAAATTTGTCACATAGGACCAACCAAGTTGTGTGAAGATTTTTTTACTATTTTAAATACTACCTACAAGTAATTTAATCAACTTGGGCAATACCCTAATTCAATCACCCGATTGATCATAAGGAATTTTCTTATTTTCTTTAAAATATTTAATTTTATGAAATAAAAATATTTTATGATTCATATAATAAATGTTTACACCAAATGATAGTATATTAAGATTATAAATTATATATCTAAAGACGAATTAATTAATTTTACTTTATGCATATTAATAAAAAATACACATAGCAATTTTCCAAAAATTAAGATCAATATAATTAATTAACAATTTAAATAATATTTTAAGCATTCAATATTTTTTGAAAGGCACAAATATAGAGACCGATATTCTAAAACTTTTGTTATATTTTGAATTGAGATTTTATAAACATGGGGACCGAGATTTTAACG